ATACTTGAGGATGCCTCAATTACGTGTGATATAGGAGAATAACAATGTAGCAAAGGAAGATTTGAAACTGGAAATCATATATTAGTGCCCCTACAGTTCACCTTTGGATTCCTTTGGAATTCCCTGCTGGCCCTTTGTCTCCTTGGCCTCATCATATCGCTATGTTGTCAAGGCCAGATTCTCTCTTTTCTCCAGACACCTCAGAATTACACCCTGTCCCTGGGACAAGAATGATTGAGTACAGTATACAGTTGTTAAAATAGACAGATCCTTCTGTACAGAGTTGGTAAATGGACTAATGAACAACCAAATAGTTGCTGCCCTGAACTCCCCCTGAAGCCCTTCCACCCCTCCATCCTTCCCCGAGAAGCCCCTGGGCCCCACTATTATCCAGCAACTAAAGACTTACACAGAGTCCTCCAGGGAAGCCTCTGGAACCCCGCTCCAGAGCTGTGGCCTGTGAATCCATACTATTTAGTAGGTGCCCTGTTTTATCAGTTGTTGAATATTTAAATACCACCCTGCACGCTACCAAGGAAAACAGGAGTTCCCCCTTATCCACAGAGAGACCTTCCAAGCCCCTTGGTGCTGCCTAAAATTGCAAATAGTTCTGAAGCTTCAATACACTATGTTTTTTCCTATACATATACTTGTGTTAAAGTTTATTTTATAAATTAGACACAGTAAGATATTAGCAACAGTAACTAATAATGAAATAGAACAATTATAACAACATACTATATCAAAGTATGTGAACCTGGTCTCTCTTTCTCAAAATATCTTATTGTTCTGGGTTCAGAACAGAACTTCTTCTTGCAGGGATGGGAGATGATAAAAACGCCTGCATGATAAGAAGATAAGAGGAATGGTGTAGGCATTGTGACATAGCATTAGGCTAACACTGACCTTCTGATGATATGTCAGGAGGATCATTGCTTCCTGACCACAGCTGACCACGGGTAACTGAAACCAAGGAAAGCAAAACCACAGATAAAAAGGGGACTACTGTAATCATTTACCGATAGATAAACAGAATATTTACCATTTCAGTCTAAAATATACATGTTACTCCTCAAGGTCAGGATTGCTTTCAAAATAAGGAGTGGTCATGAGCTCTACATCTGCAGGAATAGAAACATCTCCAAAGGGGTTCTTCCAGGAAAATAGACAAGGCTTTTCCCAAAGACACATTGGTGCTTCTATTCATATGGTAGAAACTGATGCTTTAAAAAAAAAAAAAATTCTGCTGTGCTTCCCTAATTACTTGTTATCATTTTGTACTTGTCCTATCTTGTCTGTCTCTCATAACTTACATATTGTATGGCTCCATCCTTCCCAGCATGGTGCTGCCCACACAGCAGTAGGTGTTTGATAACTGAACAAAATTTTTAAAATTTTTAAAATTTAAAATTTGCTCCAGAAAAGTCCATCACAGGGACACTTACCACCTAAGTCAAATGCATTTGAAGACTAAACTGATGGTGGGTTGGAAATCTGTTTCACAAGGTAAGGCTGCTTCTGTCATTGCTTGCAAGAAAGAATGAGGAAGGACAAATGGGCTGTAGTTTGTAGACAAATATGAATATGAATATGACAATTTGAGCTTAATGAGGAAGACAAAGTCCCTGGCAAAGGGATAGATTTCTGTTTCCCACCCACTTGCTTTGCTTCTTCCACATGGAAAGGAATAAGGACAAACACAATAGAAAGGTTATAGAATGTTTAAACATACTTTCCCATAATTAAACTGAAGGGCTTTTCAAGGGGGATCAAAGCCGACTTTTACCCTTCAGGGTGAACTCAGCAGTGTGACTTAAGAGAAATATGTACACATACATACACACACCCCTCAAGAAAACTATGAAACACCTAAATACCTAAATGTCCATCAGTCGAAGCATGGCATAAGTTTTGTATATCTTTAGTATGGGAGACTATGAGAGAGAGTCAAGTATCATATGGTTTCACTTGTGGAGCATAAGGAATAACAGGGAGGACATTGGGAGATGGAGAGGAGAAGTGAGTTGGGGGAAATCGGAGGGGAAGACAAACCATGAGAGACTGTGGACTCTGAGAAACAAACTGAGGGTTTTAGTGTGGGGTAGGGGTGGAGTGAGCCTGGTGGTACTAAGGAGGACACGTACTGCATGGAGCACTGGGTGTGGTGCATAAACAATGCATTTTGGATCACTGAAAAAAAATAAAATTAAATAAAATTTTTAAAAAAGAATGATGTAAATTTATGTGTGTAGCAATCTGGAAGGAGACCCATTAGTTACTGCTAGGCGAACAAAGCAAACTGCCCAATAATAAAGCATAAAAATGCTTTGATGCAAGTTCTCCTAGAGTGGTATGCTGGAAGTGACTTATACTGGCTCATGGGAGGCAGTTACTACATTTTCATGAATTTGACAGGCTGGTTGTTAAGCAGTAGACACTTTAAAATCAGCTACAATGAGTGTATTCGCACCAAAGAAATCTACACCTTACAAATAAGGGCTCTCCCCCACCCCCACTACCACCCCCAACCCCTTGCCTACTTAGAGAGCTGGTTTATCAGCACACCACTGCTCAAAAATGTGCAGATACAAGTTTGTGTAAGCGTAGCCAGTTATCTGGAATAATATATACCAAACCGTGAATTGTTGAATTTACGCATACTGATTTTATAATCTTTTCTTTAAAGATTTTATTTATTTATTTGACACAGAGAGAGACAGGGAGTAAGGGAACACAAGCAGGGGGAGTGGGAGAAGGAGAAGCAGGCTTCCCATGGAGCAGGGAGCCTGATGCAGCGCTCAACCCCAGGACCCTAGGATCATGACCTGAGCCGAAGGCAAACGCTTAAGAACTGAGCCACCCAGGCACCCCTGATTTTATAATCTTAAAAATGAAAAAAAGAAAAAAAAAAGAATAGTCTCACAAAAAAGTGAATGCTACCATGCTGTAAGTAAAATCAATTGAAAAGTCCAAGTATAACATCTTCTGATAACTATGCTCAGTATTTTGAAAAATTCTAAAACAGTTAAATCAATGATATTTTAAAGGTTCTGCATGTATTTGCTAAACTTAATATATTTCAAGTCTGTTTAATACTAAAGCTGCTTAGAGCTGCCTTAAAGGGTCAGACCACCTCAAACAGGTTTAAAAACTGGTTCAAATATTGGGGCTCCTGGGTGGCTCAGATGGTTAAGCATCCAGCTCTTGGTTTTGGCTCAGGTCATGATCTCAGGGTCCTGAGATTGAGCTTGCGTTGGGTTCCGCACTGGGTATGGAGTCTGCCTAAGATTCTCTCTCTCTTCCTCCCTCTGCCCCTCCCCTGATCACTTGCGCTCACTCTCTCTCTCTCTAAAAACAAACACACGAACAAACTGGCTCAAATATTTATAACACTGATAATAGAAAATGGTTCTATTATATATAGAACCGTATGTATATAGAATCCATAGAAATATGTCCTTACGAGGCTATATCTCTATGAGCACATTCCTACACTTAGATTTAATGTCAAAGCAAAGACTGTATCAGTCATACTCCCATCAACAGTGCCACAGCAAAATCTGATATTGTGAACACTAAAAAATATTTTAACCATCTGATAAGCAAAATGTGTCCACCAAAAAGTAAAAAGATTTCTGTGTTTCAGTTGACAGTTCCCTGATTATAGCTTAGCTTTAAAAAAATATGTTGATCAACTACTTGTATTTTATTTTCTGTGAATAACCTAGTTTCCTAGTCACAGTCTTTGAGAATTTTGAGTTGAATTACCTGTTCCTTATTAAATTGTTGGAGTTCTTTAAACATGTCAGTTAACCTTCTGTCAAGAATGTTACAAACATCTTTCACTATCAATGCTTGTCTTTTAAACATCTGATGTTTTATGGAAGTTGTGGGGTTTTGTTGTTGCTGCTGCTGTTGTTTGTATTCAGATGTTTCAGTCTTTTTCCCTATGGCTTCTGGATTTTGGGCTATGCTTAAGAGGACCTTTCCTACCCTAAAATTAAAACAAACAAAAACCTACTTTGTTCTAGTTTTTTTGTGTGTGTGTGATCTAGCAATTTCATCCATCTGGAAGTTATTTTAGTGACTGCAGAGAGTAGAAATCAGTTGAACTGGGGCACCTGGGTGGCTCAGTAGGTTAAAGCCTCTGCCTTCAGCTCAGGTCATGATCTCAGGGTCCTGGGATCGAGCCCCCGCATCGGGCTCTCTGCTCGGCGGAGAGCCTGCTTCCTCCTCTCTCTGCCTGCCTCTCTGCCTTCTGCCTACTTGTGATCTCTGTCTGTCAAATAAATAAATAAAATCTTAAAAAAAAAAAAAGAAAAAAGAAATTGAAACTGAATTGAAATTCAGTTGAACTAATGTATCGCTTCAAGTCCTTACCCATTGATTTTTAAGTTCCATATTTATTCTGATATGTATATATATACACACACATTTTATATGGATTCCTGAACTTCAGTATTTTTCTGAGGAAAACTTTAGAGTTTTAATCTTTAAGCCCTTCATGTGATGTTTAACTACTATTCTGTAATTGCTGTACAGCTAGATCAGAGACTATCTGGTCATTTCTGCTGTATAAAATGACTTGGCGTAGTGAGAGGGTGGTGGGGTTATGGACATTGGGGAAAGTATGTGCTATGGTGAGTGCTGTGAAGTGTGTAAACCTGGCGATTCACAGACCTGTACCCCTGGAGCTAATAATACATTATATGTTTATTAAAAAAAATTTAAAAATTAGTAAAATGACTTGACAGTATAGCTACTGGGAGGTCACATTTGAAAATATAAATCTTTCTAGAATTGTCTTCAGTGCTTGATGCTGAAGTAAACTCAATAAAATGTGCATTTAGTTTAATGTAAGTCTTTAAATCCCCTTTGAAGTTTAATCTACATTACGTCATTTAAAAACTATTATGGAAAAGAACAGTTTCTCAGTGTAGCATTTCAAAGTCCAAAGAGCCGTTAAAATAAAACCATGCTTTTTTTTTTTTTTTTTTTAGCAATATCTTGCCTGTGACAGTGTGTTTGCCAACATGGCCCCCAAAAAGAAGACTGTGAAAAAGAGCAAAGGAGATATTAATGAGATGACCATAATCGTAGAAGATAGCCCTCTGAACAAACTGAACACTTTGAATGGGCTCCTAGAAGGAGGCAATGGCTTTAGCTGCCTTTCTTCTGAATTAACAGATGCTTCTTATGGCCCCAACCTCTTGGAAGGCTTAAGTAAAATGAGGCAGGAGAACTTCCTTTGCGACCTAGTCATTGGCACCAAAACAAAGTCCTTTGATGTTCACAAGTCAGTGATGGCTTCGTGCAGTGAATACTTCTACAACATCCTAAAAAAAGACCCATCTACCCAAAGGATAGATCTCAATGATATCTCACCGCTGGGCCTGGCTACTGTCATTGCATATGCTTATACTGGAAAGCTGACGCTCTCTTTGTATACTATAGGAAGCATTATTTCTGCTGCTGTCTATCTTCAGATCCATACCCTTGTAAAGATGTGCAGTGATTTTCTGATACGAGAGATGAGTGTTGAGAATTGCATGTACATTGCTAACATTGCTGAAACATACTCCCTGAAAAATGCCAAAGCAGCAGCCCAAAAATTTATCCGGGATAACTTCCTTGAATTTGCAGAATCAGATCAGTTTTTGAAACTCACGTTTGAGCAAATTAATGAACTTCTCATAGATGATGACTTACAGTTGCCTTCTGAAATAGTAGCATTCCAGATTGCAATGAAATGGTTAGAATTTGACCAAAAGAGAGTGAAATATGCTGCAGATCTTCTGAGCAATATCCGCTTTGGTACCATCTCTGCACAAGACCTGGTCAATTACGTTCAGTCTGTACCAAGAATGATGCAAGACGCTGATTGTCACAAACTTCTTGTAGATGCTATGAACTACCACTTACTTCCATATCGTCAAAACACATTGCAGTCTAAGCGCACAAGAATCCGCGGGGGCTGTCGAGTCCTCGTCACTGTTGGGGGACGTCCAGGCCTTACGGAGAAGTCCCTTAGTAGAGACATCCTGTACAGAGACCCTGAAAACGGATGGAGCAAGCTTACAGAAATGCCAGCCAAGAGTTTTAATCAGTGTGTGGCTGTGATGGATGGATTTCTTTATGTGGCTGGTGGTGAAGACCAGAATGATGCTAGAAATCAAGCCAAGCATGCAGTCAGCAATTTCTGCAGGTATTTGATCCTTTATTAGGAACTGAAATGGTTCAATATTGTGAGGAAATTGCTCTGACATAGAAGTAAATGAGTCCTGCCTGTTAGCTTAGTTCATTGGCTCAGTAAATCAATAATGCTACATTACATATATACAAAAGTCCACATTATATAAAGTATATGCATATATAAATTGCACTCCAGATTTCTGAATAAGCCTATGAAATGAGGTGGGAAAATGTGGTTATTCAGATCTTACATGTGAGAAATCTGATACCCAGACAAGTTATACCACAAGTGAGTGGTAATTCATAGTCTCTCATTTATCGTAAGGTTCCCTTCACAGTACACTGTTTTTCTGAAAACAAACTGGGTACAAATTTAGTTTTTAACACTAAGTGATAAGAAAGGTCAAAATAATACAGAAATTCTTTTAAATGACTGTTACTGATGACGGTCAGATTCATAATTGGCAAATACAATGAGATCATTTAAAAATGTGGCAGGTCATTAACTCTAAATATTTTCTGAAGACTGAATACTATAGAAACTGTCAATTTCTTTCATGCACGTAGAAACAATAAGGGTATAATATATCCTTCAGAAAATGGAATTCGAATGCCATGTTGTCTGTGTATATTTATAATAAAAACACTTTCATATATATATGAAATGTCAGGAAGTCATGCTTATATCGTGGTAGAAGTACAAAGTCAAACATAACTGATCAGCAAGATCTGAAAATTTATAAAGTATATCACGAAAATATCCTTTATTATTTCATCAGCAAGATCTGAAAATTTATGAAGTATATCACGAAAATATCCTTTATTATTTCATTATATGTCTGTGTGTCATTTAAACGAATCCAAACAATTAACTGATTTTTGCCCTTTAATTTATAACTATAGTTAAGTTTTGATTTGGAGGTTAAATGGGACAAAAATGAAGGAACATCAAACTAATGCAGGGAGGTCTGCGTTTACAATGCTTTGGAACTACGCAAACAGTTTAAAACAGGTTTTCTACGACTGCTTATTTTCCTCCTGCTGATAACTCTGTTGAGTACTCAACCGTTTTTGCAATATTGGTTTCAGTACTTATGATATAATAACTGTAATATCAAACACTGAAAAAACAGATCTCTAAACTGAAAAATCTTACCTATGGACAAGTGCTAGAAAATAGAGAAATATCGAAAGTTAAGCCTTTGGTGATGCTTTTGGACATGAGTTCCATTGATCTCATTCTAAGCAGACAGAAGACTTGGTTGAGTGATGTAGCTTTACTGTTCCAGTGGCCAGGTGTCTGCCAGACCTGGAGAAGTCCAGTTAGCCAACTCCTATCTAATTAAGCAGTAAGAATGAGCCAGGGATGGCTGGTGTCTGAAGATGTGTGGAACTGACTTAAATGTGGCAGTGTTTCCTTTCTGATTGCCACAGATACCCAGCTTCCACCTGCCTCCCCCACAAGCCCGTCTCATAAACACCCCTCTCCCCTCATGATGTGAGAGTATGGAAGAAGAGGGACTGACGAGTGGCGTCTGTGGGGACTTCTCCAAGAGGCCCGATAAAGGCAGTGGTTTTATAAACGGGAGGAGGGGGAGTCGCAAACTTGTCACACCTCACTGGCTGAGAAACAAACCCCAGCCTCCAGGTGAGGAAATGCGTTCTGTGCCTAGCGTAGCCTCCCTGCCTGAAGAATGTCACAGTGGCCACGCTGTGGTTTGTGGAGTCACATGGGTCCCTGGCTGCCGCCAACCTGGCTGTCACACTTGCTCTGCCATTTTCAGATACGATCCCCGCTTCAACACCTGGATCCACCTGGCCAACATGACCCAGAAGCGCACGCACTTCAGCCTGAGCGTGTTCAACGGGCTCCTGTACGCCGTGGGCGGCCGCAATCCCGAAGGCAGCCTGACCTCGCTCGAGTGCTACGTGCCCTCCACCAATCAGTGGCAGCCCAAGACGCCCCTGGAGGTGGCGCGCTGCTGCCACGCCAGCGCGGTCGCCGACGGCCGCGTGCTGGTGACCGGCGGCTACATCGGCAGCGCGTACTCGCGCTCCGTGTGCGCGTACGACCCCACCGGCGACTCGTGGCAGGAGCTGCCGGGCCTCAGCACCCCACGAGGTTGGCACTGCGCGGTCACGCTGGCCGACCGGGTGTACGTGATGGGGGGCAGCCAGCTGGGGCCGCGCGGGGAGCGCGTGGACGTGCTGACCGTGGAGTGCTACAGCCCGGCCAGCGGCCAGTGGAGCTACTCCGCGCCGCTGTTGGTGGGCGTGAGCACGGCGGGCGCCTCGACGCTGCACGGCCGCGCCTACCTGCTGGGGGGGCTGGAACGAGGGCGAGAAGAAGTACAAGAAGTGCATCCAGTGCTTCAGCCCGGAGCTCAACGAGTGGACGGAGGACGACGAGTTGCCCGAGGCCACCGTGGGCGTGTCCTGCTGCACCCTCTCGATGCCCAACAGCGTGACCCGGGAGTCCCGAGCCAGCTCGGTGTCCTCGGTGCCAGTCAGTATCTGAACCCAGGTAGATGCGGGGACGCAGGAAGGGCAAACAGGCGTTCGTGGGTTCGCGGAAAGGAAAATATATAACATTTACTACAATGATTGTATCTTACGCCGTATCGAGGCGTCTGTCTTGGTAGTTTTGAATTCCTGGTAGGGCGGGCGTAATCTACCTCTTTAAAAAAAAAAAAAAAAAAAAAAAAGCAAAATACGGGGCCCTGGCCAACAAAGAAAAGAAACCATTTATTTCAGCGGCCACTGGGTGGCAGACAGAATTCGTCGTAGGCACTCTTCCCACCGGGGCATGGCCCCTTAATGGATAGCGGTTACACCCACATTTGAGATTTTTCTTCTACCCTTTAGTACACATGAAGCTTACGTGAGTAAGCAATTTCATGTACGAAAGTTCATCTTCTTCTCTCGTCTTTATCTTTAGGAAATTAAAAGTATTCAATTATAGCTTTTATTTTAAAATGGAAGACCATCTATATCCATAAAGATTAAATTCTACGTTTAAATACAGTTTCTTTTTCCATACGCGACTGAGTAAAGAATATTGAAAGGCGTCCCATGATGAAGTCCTAAAACTTAAAACTAGGTTTGACTGGAGAGTAACAGGGATTCCTCCCTGGACTGTCACACTGATCCCTTTGGTTTATCCCTTAATTCTTCTCTTCTGTGCCTCAGTGCCCAGGGTATTTGCTATCGAAAAATACTTGATCTCAAAGAAGAAGCTACTAGTCATTTAGTTTATGGTGTAAATTTTGTAAATTTCAGTCATTTTGTTGTTTCTCCTGGAAGTATTTGCACTTTAACCTTTGTCCCCTATTAAAGGAATTGCCAGTATCATGGGAGTCTTACTTTGACCCTAAAAAGATGCAACCTTGACCCTAATATAAACCCCAAGAAGAACACCAGATAAAACTATGGCCATAAGGACTATTAACTTAAAGCTTATATAGCTCGTAGATTATTCGACTGATAGCAATAATTTGATTTCCCCCATTTTTTATTTGGATGAGAATGAAGGGAACATTTGGAATTCTTGGGTTTGGCAGTAACAGGATGAATGGCCTCTCCTGTTGGTAAATGTCACTATTTCCCATTTCATAGCAATTCTCCTGATTTCTTAATTAAAACTCTAACACATTCATTTCACATGGAAATAATAATGCCCTTCTGTTCTATATGTTTTAACTTCATCTGCTCCAAATTAGCTTTGCAAATTAAAATGTATCCACTGGATATCATTTATTACATATTTGCCAAGTTATAGAGCAAGGGAATGATTGTAGTAAATGATATATATTTTCCTTTCTTACAATTAATCACTCTATTCTTTGGTGGTTTATTTGTTTTGGAGATGTGGCCTATCAATTATGGGTTATGTGCAATTGGTTTTTGAAAAATAAAACTATTTAAATGGTTAACCATGAGATGTACGGAAATCTAACTGGGTTTTCATTAATCCCATTTCTCCTACCCTGTGTAGCTAGGTATTGCTAGTGTTACAATATTTATATTTAAAATATTTTATTTGAACTGTGAAAAGTGGTTCATATAGTACACTTTGTGGAACAATTTTATATCATCGCCCCTTATGAAAAGTTCAGTCTATGTGTATTTAACAGTAACACTTGGTAAAGCCTACAACACTGTAAACTAAGAACAAGGCACTATTAATGTAAAAACACTGGGCTGTTTCCTCCCCCCACACAGAACATTCGGAGCTTCTCCAAGTAGGGAGTAGGTCTAAAGGCACCTGCTCCCTTGACTCATTCTCCGTCCACACTGGAGAATAAAGCTGTACGAGAAACAAGTTTATGGAACAAGTTAAATCATTGAGCCCCTTAAGCTATCAGCGTACTAACTATAGATAATTTTTGTCCTTGCAGGATCTTTCATAAAATAAACTTCATTTTTTTTTTTTTTTAAAGATTTATTTATTTATTTATTTATTTGAAAGGCAGAGATCACAAGGAGGCAGAGAGGCAGGCAGAGAGAGAGAGGGAAGCAGGCTCCCCGCTGAGCAGAGAACCCGATGCGGGACTCGATCCCAGGACCCCGAGATCATGACCTGAGCCGAAGGCAGCGGCCCAACCCACTGAGCCACCCAGGCGCCCAATAAACTTCATTTTTAATAAATTAGTTTGGCCACAATTAACAAAACCTATGTGAGGGTGGCTATGACATCTTTTAGTTTGGTATAAATATAATATATTCTTGTACAATTGAGCAGCCTATAGTATCTTATAAATTTTGAAAGGAAGAAAGGTGATTTATTGTGGATCACAGGTCATAAGTGGGGCAAACAGGCATAATTCCTGATGTACAATAGTAGATGTGTCTCCCATTGAGATTCTAGAGGTTTTGTGAAGTGGAGGACCTAAGGCTTGGAATGAAATAGGAATCAATCAGTTGTAATGTTTTATCTTGGAAGAATGAGGAGAGATGGAAATGAGAGGGTTCTTCAGCCTTCAGAGCTTGGTAAGAGGTTGTCCACAGACTTGGCAGTGGCTTTCTAGACATGAGAGTGAAGACATGTTAGCACTGGATAAATCATTTAAAATGACCATGTAACATATTTTCCATATTGTTTATCTGAAGATTCCGAAAACACACCCGTCGGGGCTTACCAGGTTCCCACGTGCATCGCTGTTCTATCTTCTGCTTCAACAGTTAGGTCAATAAATAAAGACGGTATGAATTTAGAATCCTGGGATTTCTGACATAGCAAATTGGTAGAGAGCGTGGAGCATAAGGGTGGGTGAAGTTGTTCCATCTTGGAACATCTCTCACGGACAACTGAAAGACATAGAGGTCTAGAGAATCAAAATAACGTGTGTCCCCTTTCACATGCTGGAGCCATTGCTCCTAGAAAATGTGATGGTTTGTCCATGTTTCCCAGCTGGAAAACAACGTCATTTCTAATGTGTTTTGAGCTTACATTTAGTTACACTTCCAGCCTCAGGATCCAACTCCAGACCTCCTTTTATTTTTCTGAAAGAAAAGGACATATAATTTTTGTAATGTGTATTTTGTAATCGCCAAGTCCTGCAATTAAATAAAAGCATCAATTCAATCCATCAGAGCAGGAGCAAGTTCCCCAGCTGCTGAAGGGATAAGCTGTCTTTTTCTGAATGGGCCAGATTCCTGATGTGCTAGTCTCGAGGAAGCAAGACTTTAATGTAGTCTGTCCGCTTTGAGTTAGACTCTTGGTCCTTCACTGTCGTCCCTGATGCACTAGTTGCTTTAAGTGGCTTTGGATGAGTTTCATGTTTACTTCTTCTGGTGTAAGACTGGTTAAGTATAGAGAGTCAGTGATGGTGCAGATTAATATAATTCTAATCAGTGATTCGATGGTAATGGTGTTTTAGGAGCGAAGAGGTATAACTGGGGAAAGAAGGAAGTGAAAATGTACTAAATGGTTCCGATTTAAGCCAGAGCAGCAATTATAGTAAATATATTTTACAAACATGCATGTAACTAGAGGCTTCCCTGGAAATACGTGAGTGTTAAAAGGCCAATTTTTTGCTGGTTATCTTGGCCAAATATCTTCAGAAATTGATCCAAGATACTAGACAAACTGGAATCACTTCATTTTTTCCCCCAAGTTACAAAGAAACATGTTTATGTAATCTTCTTTGAAGGACTCTTCTGCATTCTCTCCCGAACGAATGTTCTCTGAATGAGCTCCGTCCTCATCTGAGGCACTGATGAATACGATTTCTAGCACAAGACAGCATTACAAGGAATTATTTTTCAGTATGTCTCTTCATACCAGTAAAAACTACAGCATAATTACCTCAACACTCCTCCGTGGTGATTATAAGAACTAAAGATTCTAAAATATTAAAGATTTACCCTCCAGCACATTCAGAGGGTAAAGACCACCTAAATTTCCCTCCCAGAGAATTTGGGATAAAAATACTTGTCTTGGACACTCCTTTAAAAAACAAACAAAAAAGCTTTGTATTTATTCAGCAAATTCTGGCGAAACAAAACAAATTCTTTCTTTAAAACATTCTGGTATTATATAAGGAACAACAAACTAAAATGTATGTGTATCTGTATCCTCATCACTATCAATAAAGCCGTATTCAGTGAGAGCTCAGTCAATGATAAGATGTGGGTAGTTTTGAAGTGTCCTTTGTGTGATGGTTGGGGTGCTTGGTTTTCTCCTCGAGTTAGTTTTCATGATGATTCACCTCAGCAAAACACAACAACAACAAAAGAGATGACAAATAATTGAAGGGCTGTTTCAATAGCTTGCAGACTAGTAAAAGAAAAATGTATAAAACGTCTGTAGTGACTTGCTTGTGGCTCAGACAAAAGCCTATGTTTGGTCTCTCTCAGCCCTGACCATTTAGAAATCACAGATAAAGTGTGGTGGTTTCTAGCCTTATTCCCGCCCTGACCACAGCCAACTGGTCACGGACTCGGGTTCATCATCATTTGCGATGAAGCTACATTTTTGGAAATGAAATCGTGTTGCTGTCCCGGCAAACTTTCACCACCTTACTCTTCCACCTCGCCTTCCAGATGAGCAAAGGAAGCATAACCCACATAAGATGCTCAATCTTTGATCTGATCTAGCAGTTAAAGAATAACACTCAGTTGAGATGGTCCTTTCCAGAAAATTCAAAATGGCAGCAATTACTTTTTCTTAAATTTCTCCAAACTCTGTAATCATGAAAAGAGACTAGAAGGCCCCCACACAGAAACAAGCTGGTGCCACATTCCCAGTTTTGAGTATACCTGCAGGAGCCCCAGAGTTTTCTTGAGTTCTCTTTGAACTCCCACATCTAGAACTCCAAGCTTCCCCACAGGTCTGCACCCCCTCCCACGTTCACATACCAGTCTGTCTGTCCAGTTCACAGCACATGTGAAATTATTTAATGACACGAAGGACACCTAAGGTACTCCAGGATGTAGCAAAGGAATAACCATTTTGCACCTACTGTGTTTGGCAAATTTGATAGAAAGACTAGAGACAAAAAAGATATCCAAACCCAC